TAGGTAACATTTACCTGATACACTCGGTGGGAGGAGGTCCAAACGATCTCTTTGCACCTCTATTTCCAGGCTCTTTTGCATAACTGATTACATTTAATCACAAGTGAAACTGCTTGTCTCTGCAAACAAACTTCCTCCAATTGGTTTGTTCAGCATCAGCTGACATCAGTTACATAAGGCTCGTGATAGGAGGAAGCCTGTTTGCAGAGACAAAGTATGAGCAGTTTTGCAACCGCACGGTTCTCTCCTCGGCTTACTTCCTTTCATAAGACGCCCTTCAATTTTTAGCGTAAGGATTAAAAAAAAAGTATCATCCTATAGTCAGAAAAATACGGTATATAAGTCAGGGGTTTGTGTTATGATGTTACAACATATGCTTTGCCACCTCCCCCCTCATATAGGCCTATGATTTTGTCCCTTTTATATAATTTCAGTCACAGAGAAGAAAACAAGCAAACAAACCTCTTTTGAGAAACCTGAACCCTAGGATACATTTATGAGCTAACTTCGGACAGGTTGCTATAGTATTGTGAAATATGGGATGCAGAACACAGCCTGAAAAGGTGGTATATTTAAATAGGAGTGGGCACCTTTCTCTGAGTTAACAGGACATACTCCTGCGACCTGCAGGAAGCTTTCCAATGACTTTGGGCTTTTAAAAATAATTTGGGGTAATTTTTAAAGATGGGAATGGAAATAGGAGGCCTTTAGGAGAAAGATCACACTTGTTCCAAAAACTACACCATTCCCATGGGGTGAAATCATGCTATCACAATTCAGCCATATAGAGAGATATAGATATATAGATATACATACGTGTGTGTGTGTAAATATATATATTTACCAAACTTCAACAGCATGATTTTAGGCATTTCAGAAGGTATGTATATATATATTCCCATTCCCATTCTCACCTAATATCCAGGGTGGAAAAAAAAAAAAAAAGATGATTCTCTTATATAATGAGTAATAATGAGTAATACAGCTGTAAAATGGCTCCAGATTCTCCTGCTTAACTATGCAAGCCCCATTCCTCTCTAGAACACACAGACTGAAGAAGACTTCTAAATGAGTTGCAAACTGAACTCTCACCGAACCGAATGAATTATTAAAATTGCAGATGGAGCTACCCAAATGACAAGAACAGTTCCTGACGTGTCATGATCCAGGCCTCATTAAATCATTTCAAGCATACTAATAGTTTTCTGCCACTCATTACTTATACACAGAATTTTACATAGATATAACAACTTTGGTTTCCCATAGGTAAAGACATAAAAAATTCTGGAAATTCACTTCTGGGATGAAGTGAAAAATACTTCTTTTTTAACAAGGAGGGGAAAAAAACCTTGAAAATGTATCATCCTTTACATATCTAAACTCAATTTAACACTATAGCAGTGTAAATCATATTATGAATTACTTGTCTTGCTCATGAAACATTACCTTTTATGATTTACATTTAAATTTAAAAAGTAAGGGTGGATTGTAGATTTTTGACACAAAACATCATATTAATTAAAAAAAATCATTTACTATTTATTTTGTCTATGAAAATATCCTCTTCCTTTTAAATTAATTTAATCAACTGACTTCAGAATTTTTTTTTAATTTTTTTTAAGCATAGAATGTATTTTTCAGCTCCTTTCGGCTGTTGAGTTATGTAGATTTCAGGAGGAAACTCAACAGATTAAGGGGAAGAATTCCTTCCAACTCCAAAGTCTTTAAACTTATCCTATCTTTCTCAGCAATTCTTTGTTTCTAATTTATAGGAACAACTGTGTATTTAAC